ACGGGAACATTCCTCTTGAGAGGTTGCCTGATACCATGCCTGCTGCCTTCCACTGTTTCGGCGCGGTATGTGCAACACATTTGGGACTAACAGCGGTTTACTGGAATCGCCGACACCCACCACAGTCAACGCGCGTAGACGTTTAGACCATGAGCGCTCGCTCGCGGGCACTTGTAATTATTGAAACCGTTGCAGTGCCTGTTGGGTCAGTCCTTCACTACATACATTATGGGGTTGTTATGTAATAGAATTTGATCATGTTGAAAATTGCAGCGTAAATGAGTTGTGTCATAATTAAGAGTGATAGTAAAATAAACCGGTGAATTAAATTTACCAACAAAGTTTTGATGCTCTACGTACTCTATATTGGCCCATAACTCAACGTACGCACCTTTAAGAATAATTGCTTATGATACACTATCAGTTGTACTCACCACAGTACACCACTGTGGACGAAACTTTACAAAAAATATCATAAAGTATGTCATTTATGTATAAAACCAATTACCATGAACTTTGTAGTTTACCATCCACTGCCTTGCACTAACCAACGCTGGCACAGCGAAATTGCGGTGTATGTAAGCTGGCCATTGGCTCCAAGCTGAGGGCATTTACCCTGCCATCGAAATTTTAATTATAACAGTAACACCAATGCCGACTTAAGGAACTAATTCTATGTAGAGTTGGTAAGCTTATAGTGTCTCTGCTTCCACCCATTGTAGCATATGCCCAGTATGCTCTCTGGCTCCCACCACAATTAAAAACAGTTGAATGTATAGGAGAATAACCCGATTTAGATTCAAGATCTCGTGGCAACTGGAGGCAGGTGCGCTATGATCGGGTGTGTGGCGGATTCACAAGAAAATCACGAGTTCATGAGCTAAACTTTTTTTGGCAACGTTTCTTTCATCTTGTTACCTCACGGTTTTTAGCGTCAGGCCTGATCGAAGTTCAGATGCAGCTTGTAGAATCGCAGTGATTGTCCGTCCGTCCGTTTCGTATCGGATCGCGTCCACCGTCACAAGGTTGGCACAAATCTTACACGCTCCCGTTGACGGTCGTTTGATACTGTGTAGGACCTGTCCGGGGTGGGGGGGGGCGAAAGACCCGGTGGTCGAATTTGTGTGGGCGTCAAGGGTAAAAAGGTCAAGATGTGTCCAATGGAGGGGGAATATTTCCCCATTAACTTAAGGTATAGCGAGGAAATACGGGAACTTGCGGCACAAATCTCAAATGGCTCACCCTACGCGCTCTTAATTATTCGATGTATTAGTGTGTGGTGGCGGAGCCGAACACCTGCCCAGGCGGCCGAAATGGGAGGTCACCAGGTCGAAGGGCAGGGGGGATAAGGTCAGATATCAGACATTTTTCTCTTGGAGGAACATGCGGGTCTAACGGAGCTGAGTGGCAAAAACCTTTTTTGTTTCAGCGCTGACCTACCTTTTTTATCACTTTATTGAAAAGGACCATTGAAATCTACTTTCTGCTGACGTCGTGAAGAGTAAGTGTCTGATACCTCTTGCACCTCAAGAGGAGGAGTTAAAACATGGATTTGTTGGACTGTTAAACAAGAGGCACTGAGGCCATCCTTATAAATTATTATGTTTGCTGTTCCCCCGACCCATGATTTTTTTGAGTGGGATAGGTAGCGTAGGTCTTCTTTTTGCTGAGGCAATAATAGTTATTTTAAGTCTGTCTTCATGTTTGCCACACAGTGCTTTGTGTATTCAGTCTTAACTATGAGGAATGTAAAAAAAAAGTAAAAAAAAATGGAAGCCCAAAAATGGTCAAAAAAAAACTTGGGTCGCCTGGCCTAATTTTTCGCATGGCGTGCGTCGGGAGGACAGCCAAACATATAATTTTTTAAGGATAGGCCTGAAACTTGCCTTTGCTATCAAAGCCCCCTCCACCCCGCCCTCCCCCCACTTCAGAAGAAATACCTGGCTACCAGTACACGGTGTCAGTTGAGCACTGTCGCTCTGCAGCACTTGTTGTAAAAGTAAACTAAATTGCTTAAAAAACCAATGTTGACCTTGATGCTTCTTTATAGTGTTATTATTTATGTTAGACTGTAACTTCTATTGGACTAATTTTTCAGGAAACTGGTGTCGAAATGCCAGCAGATAAGCCTCTTGATTGTGGTCTCATAGACTGGATTCGAATGGGAACAACCGTCGCTACAAATGCACTACTTGAGCGCAAAGGGGAACGTCTAGCTCTGGCTATTACAGCTGGTTTCAAGGATGCCTTGCATATTGGCAACCAGTCACGCCCAGACATATTCGATTTGGTATGCAATCTTTTACAGCAGTGTATATAGCAACCACTAAAGTTGTGTGCTCTATACACTGGTCCACTTCAGTGCTGATTTTATGGCATTAGTATATACACAAAATAAGTATTTAGAAAAATTTCTTACTTGATTTCTGGACCGGTTATAACGTTCTGTCGGATAGCTGTGAAGTCCTGATGTCATGTGTATAGCCTTAAAAGGAGTAAACACGTATGTAGTGGGATATATAGAAGCAAGGCAGCTGTAATGCTAAATTTTATTAGCAGCGCTGTAGCTAGGGGGGGGGGCAGTTGCCCCCAGAAAAAAAGTAGGTACAACACATGGTCAATAGTGGTCACCTTCCCAGAACACACTATGCACATGACATTGCCCCCCCCCCTCCCCGCAGGAAAAATTTGTTAGCTACGCTCCTGAATAGTTACATGTTATAATTAAATCTCGTATACATGGCAAATTATGTATGGCAAATTATTAGTGGTAATTTTATAGCTTTGTTAACATCAAAGATTCTGTGATTCAGATAATTATGTGGAATTAATTTATAGATACCAGCTTAAATACTGCACTCATACACTTGGGACAATAATGTCTTGTAAAAATCTTGTACATAATGATGTTTTTATGAATTTTGTTTAGGAAGTCAAGTGCCCAGACGTATTGCATGAAGATGTTATAGAAGTGGAAGAGAGAGTTGTTATGCAACAGGATAAATGCCAAATAAAGAAGAACTGTCCTGTTGTTATTGGCTCAACTAAGGAAAAGGTAATTCATAAATATGGGCTGTTGTTTTGGTCGTCTAAGATAGAAATGATTAAGATGTAGCATTAGCAGAGCCTCTCTTAAACAGTTTGGCTTATCACTCTGGTTGTTTATCTTTGTTTGAAGCTTGAGGTATGGAAAGAGATAGACGAGGAAAAATTGCGCAGAGATCTCCAGACTCTCCTGGATAAAGGAATCCGAAGCGTTGCAGTTTCTTTGATGCATGCATATACGTATGGAGCCCTGTATTTTTATTTTATTGGTAGCAAAATTCCAACGGTATGTTACTGACCGTAATTCTGATTGTTCTATATTAAATTATTTGACTGAAAAGATCACTCTGCCATTACTTGCATTGACCTTGACATTTATTTACGAGTCTTGATGAAGTAATTAGACACTGCATTATAATGATGTAGTAATCACAATAGAAATAGTTGTGTGTAAATTTTTAATAGATTCAGGATTAAATGCTTAATACAGTTGTCATTTCTTTGTGAAATATCTTAGTGAATATCTACTACTCTTAATTTGACAGTAAGCAATTTGGTAATGGAATCACAATGAGGAATATTTCTTTATCGCTCCTAGTAATTTTTACATTTATAAACTTATTGTTATACTCACAGTTATGTTATATACAATTATTTTATAATTCTATTATATTATATATCTTCTATTCTATTGTTTGAATGTTCCTATGTTCTGTATTGTAAGTTACTGCTCTTGTCTTCCACATCATCCTTGATATTTAATGGAATTTTAGCTTGTGTAAGAACATATTCACTCATGAATTTTAAAATGAAATTTATTGCTCATAATATGTAACTTACCTACATTACTCTGTTCTATTAGTGATTGTAATTATTTGTATATTGCCATAATCAGGTTGTTATCTAATGTTTTATCATTACTTATTAACAAATAACTTGGTCAGCTATTATTCTCAACATACTTTCGTTATTTATTGTTGTTCAAGATATGGCGGACACGAGCGGGTTGTTGGAAAAATTGCCAGTGAGATGGGCTTCACACAGGTGTCATTGTCTTCTGATGTGATGCCGATGGTGAGACTGGTGCCAAGAGGATACACAGGTAAAAAGAACAAAAACACCAGGTGTGGCTGATGTGTTCACGTGATACTTATATATTTCACTGTATGCTAGGCTGCTAAAAAGTATACGTGTTGCTCAGAAAACTTTTATTTAAAAGGTGTAAAATTGATGGGAAAATTTTCATTACAAATTTGTTTTGTTTTAGCCTGTGCTGATGGTTATTTGACTCCACACATCAAAACTTACATTAAGAATTTTACGTCTGGATTCAAAGGTGGAATAGATGTAAGTGAATATGTGGTGTAGTGCTGCCATCTACTGGTGATGTTAGAGCTAATCATTATACTCTTTATATGTCATTTCTCCACATTTATTAATGTTCTCCACATGTAATGTAATTATTTCATGTTCACATGTTTAATGAAAGGTAACACAAGCTATTTTAAACTGCTTGCACTTGTGTGCTGGCATGACATTAGCTAATAATTTGTTTTGTAGCGCTAGACAGTTGTGTTTGTATTCAGTGTTCAATGATTTTTATTGACATAATTATGTTTAAAGTCGAGATTTATACTCAAAAATACTAATTATTCTATTTAGAGTTGTTTATTTGTATTCAGGACGATCTCTAATGTCGTGGGCAATAACACCCGCAAATACAATACAGGAACAACTGAACTTAACAATGTAAAATATGGTTTACAAGATCAAACGGACTGAAAACTGAAACTTATACTGAACTGGACACTGACTATACTGGAACAGCAAAACGCCAATGCTCATATATTATATATATATTATATATCAGGAACTTCTCTTTGTCTTTGTCGTCAAATTACACTTACTCATGTTTGATAAACCTGCAATGAAACCTGGTCGTGTCCATCGTAAGGGTTTCTTAAAGCCATGAGCAAGTGACCATGTGCAAAGTTACTGTAGCCAGCAATAGTTGCATTACTCACAAACAATAAAAGATAAGGAAGATATCACCTGTGCAGTGCATGATACAGAAAAGAAGCATCTCTTCTACATCCTCATGCCAACATTCATTACTTAATTTCTACACATGATGGAGTCTATAATATATGCTCTAGGGCATTTTATTTTGCAGAAAATGAAGGTACTGTTCATGCAGTCTGATGGTGGTCTTGCTCCAGCCAACAAGTGAGTTCCACATGGGAATTTGTTATTTTAGTATAGTATACAACATTACCATGTACATCACTATTCCTGGATTTTCAAAACAGCGTTTATTGATGGTTTTAATTGCTCCAATTAACTTATCAATCTGGACGAAGAAAAGTGAGGTGTTAATGCCAAAGTAAATTTGTTCAGGTTTGATTCATTTTGGTTGTCACATTCATCCTTTTACTCTATATACCCAATTGAATAATACATTGGTTTCTTTCTCTGCAGTTCTACACTTGTCTGTGTATGATGTTCATGCTTTGACTGGTGTTCATGCTTATATAGAGTGAAAATACCTAACCTGGTTCTTTGTCATCAGTAATATCATTCTTGTCATCAAGCGTTCGTTGGTTTCCAGGTTTCTTGGCTCCCGGGCAATCCTTTCTGGGCCTGCTGGTGGAGTTGTAGGTTATGCGATGACGACATACAGCCAGAAAACGAAACTGCCCGTGATAGGGTTCGACATGGGGGGCACATCGACGGACGTCAGTCGCTATGCTGGCAGCTATGAGCACGTGTTCGAGACAACGACTGCTGGAGTTACTATCCAAGCCCCACAGGTAAGATGCGCTCTTGGACCTGATGATACTGTGATGTCATGTCAAGTAAGCCTTCTAATAATTACATTCAGCATGTTAATATATACCTGCTCGCTGTAGTGTTGTAGTTCATTGTGACCGATTGTAATGTTAAAAGATTGATGAGTGATAATATTTTTCCATACATACAGCTGGATATTAATACGGTGGCTGCTGGTGGAGGCAGTAAGCTGTTCTACAGGGCTGGCATGTTTGTAGTTGGGCCAGAGTCTGCAGGTGCCCATCCTGGACCCACCTGTTACAGAAAAGGTCAGTCAATTAGCCTATAATAGTTTTCACACGTAGCAAGAAATTCGGTATTTAGCATTCACACGAGGCAAAATGCGCGGTCCAAGAAATACGGAATCTAAATAGATTCGGTATTTGTTGAAATACGCGGCTTCCCAGATGCCGAATTATTTGTCGTGTTTGAGAAATTTCGAATCTCTTGGACCGCGTATTTCTGACGTGTGAACGCTAAATACCGAATTTCTGAAGCCGCGTATTTTATAGACTGGTCCGTGCTCGACAGTTCCAGTGTAACGCGAGTGGAACAGTCGAGGACCAGTCTACGTATTTTCTCGGCAGTTGGTGCGCATTGCATTGTTTATTTCGCATTGTTCACTGGATTGTTCGCTTGGACGCATTGTTTTTTTTCAGTGTACTAAAGCAGCTCGCAGTTCGCAAATACGGCATTTCTGGAGCCGCGAATCAGCGTGTGAACGCTCGGTCGCGAATTTGTCTCAGATTCGGTATCTCGCAAATACCGTATTTCATAAATACGGAGTCTCGTGTGAACGCAGCTATAGTTCAATATTTAAACTGTGCTATGTAGCATTCCTACTGCTGTGTTACTAGACAAATAAATTTCATAGAATTAAGTGAATGTGTTCAATTAATTAATATTGGTCGTTTAATGTTGAATAAGAGAAACTAAGCATTTTACCAGACTTATATATATATTTACACAATTTGTTATATGTACTGTCTGTTGTTGCTTGTAGGAGGACCATTGTGTGTCACAGATGCCAATCTTTGCTTGGGCAGACTTTTATTGGAGTATGTATTTTGTTATATGCATGTACATTTAAATCTGAGGATTTTTTTTAGCTTGTTATTGTTTATAAGTTATTACTTTCTAATCAGTAAGGTCATAACTTTTAAAGAAAATATTGACCATGATTTCCATTACTCTATAAAATGTCTCTGAGTATCTAAAGCTTAAATTATACCTGAGTTTCAATAACTTCTATTTCAATCAATAATAAAGGTATTTTCCAAAGATATTCGGTAAGACAGAAGATCAGCCATTGGATATGGAAGCAACACAGGCTGCTTTTTCAGACCTAACTGCAGAGGTATGCGAAAAGTGAATATTTGTACAATTTGCGGCTGTATAGAATTATACTTCCCTTGTGATGGAATTCATTGTAGGATTTATTTAGTCATCTTCATTATAACTTTTTAAAACCACTGGGTGTGTTGTTAAAGGTTCTGCATTACTTTATGAATTAAATTCACTTAAATCACAGTTTGTGAAAAAAACAGAACTTTCTACATAGGCATATATTCTGCATATATTCTGCATCTATATACTGGATATGGACATGTATATTTAACAGGTGAATAAGGCTAGCAAAGAGCAAAAGGGAGATGGGTATGTCCCAAAAAGTCTGGAAGAAGTAGCAATCGGATTCATAGAAGTCGCCAATGAAACAATGTGTAGACCCATTCGTGCATTGACTCAGGTACTTCTAATAAGATGCATCTGAGAGTGCTCTCTTGTTTTATAATTCTATATTATATCTCCCCATAACATCAAACATTGTACATCACGCGAATGCACCGTGCGCCTTGTCGCAAGAATGAGTCCTGCACCATTTCAATTACCTGGTCAATCTTGCTTTTCTGACCTTCACGCTTACATCTTATTAGCTAATTGCATTTGAATGATCCGACTGTAAGATTCTCTTCTTGGTTAGTCCAAGGGATATGATACATCACGACATGTGCTTGCATGTTTTGGAGGAGCTGGTGGCCAGCATGCTTGCTCTATCGCGCGATCTCTAGGCATGAAAACCGTGTTCATACATAGGTAAGACCTGAGATCATCCATCAGACGTGTGCAATTTGTTGGGATAGGAACTGTCGTAACATATGACCAGAGTGGAAAAACTTACATGTAACACGTACAACACATGTAAGATGCTATTTGCCTAAAAACTATAAACTTTTGAAATGGTGCAGTACTGATGACTGCCGTGTGTGTGTGCAGGTACTGTGGCATATTGTCAGCATATGGCATGGCACTGGCCGATGTAGTGCATGAAGCGCAGGAACCCTGTGCACTCGAGTACAGCCCAGGTGAGTTAATTCATGTAGTCTGTGCATATAGCGTAAGTAGGCTATATACATGGGTGTAACACGAATATATCACTAGTTATAGAATGCAGCCATTGGCATTGGCAGTCAGCTTTGCTGTTCTGTAAGTAGAGTCTAAATATAATTCTTCGAATGCTTTTAGGGTAATAATTGACTTACAGTATTGGGAAAAGCAAAGTTTTGGATTGTTTTTCCTGAGATTGATTTCTGTTAAGTAGCTATCTGACTGAAAAAGTAATGTTGTGTGGATGTATATATTGTTTAACAATAAGAACCTAATAATGATGAGCCAATTTTAAAGTATATCGTTATTTCTTTCTAACCTTTTCAGAAAACTTTAAATACCTTGATGAAAGAATGGTTAATTTGAGTAACCAGTGTATAGCTGAGCTCCAAAAGCAAGGATTTAATAGGTATCTTGTGGTTAAGAACATGTTAATGCATTAAGAAATATTTTTGTGCAATATTTGAAATCAGTCATTGCCTGCAAATTGCTGCTATGTTAAGGCCACCGCACACCAGCCGATTTTTACAAACGATGAAACGATGAAACGATGAAACGATGAAACGATGAAACGATGTAGGTGTGCGGGTTCATTTGTAGACGATTTTATTGTTATCGGGTGATCGTTCCAAAATCAAAACATGTTTGATTTTGAACGCGATTATGTGGGACGCGATTTTTGTGGTGTGCGCGTGAACCTCAGGGAAAATGCGTGTGCGATAAGATATTGGAACAGCCAAAGCTTGAACGTGCCGGCGTGTCACATGACCATTCACTCTTGCAGAAATTATCGTAGGTGTGCGCCGCAGCAGCTATCAATCGCTTCAATCGTTTCAATCGTTTTCAGGTCGCTTCATCGTTTCATCGTTTCATTCGCTTCATCTTTCATCGATTTGTAAAAATCGAGGGCTGGTGTGCGGTGCCTTTTAGCGGCGATTATATATATATATATATATATATATATATCGTGTTTCCTGAAGAGTCATCCATTGTGTTTTTCTACTTTCAGAGAAAATATAGAAACTGAGACATTCCTCCATCTCAGGTACAACAAGACGGATTGTGCGCTGATGTGTTCTGCTGTTGGGTTTCCTGCATCTGCAAACAGTTGTAGTCATGGCAACTTCCTGGCAGCGTTTCTGGATAGGTATTTTACATAGTGGGTTAAGCAACTTTAAAAAGGTAGACTTGATTATCAGTTTACGAAAAAGAATAGTCATATGATTCATGATTGTCAATTATAGCAATTATAGATAATTTTAATTATTATTGTGAAATAGTGAATTAAATTTAATCAGTATTTGGTAAAACAGGACGTGGGTTGATTTATGGGTTAATCAATAACCTGACTGAGATTGTTAGCCTTTTTTGCATATTTCCCATTATTAGGATATCGATCAAAATGATACGTGGCCCACAATTGCTTTTGTATAGGTACAATACAGAGTTTGGGTTCACAATATCAGATAGAACAGTCTTGGTTGATGATATCCGAGTAAGAGGCATTGGCAAGAGTGGAATAGCAATTGAGCAGAGTATTGCACCTGCAGACAGTACCCCAGCCAAAATCAAGGTAATAGTGAAGGGAGGAACCCCTCACATAGGAACGTTTGAGAGTCTGTATTATTGCTTGTTACCCACACTATGAGCATTTTTCCTTGTTCTTCAGGCCGGGCATGTCTGGCCTGATTTAACGAAAAAAAAAGTAAGCTTTTTAGGCCTCGCTGACAATATAGTGCAGCTCTGCCTACGACTCGCCCTCGCCCAGCGTCCGTGGCCATCTGTGTGCCAACAGTGTAACGGCACAAATCTATAAACCGTCGACGTACCGTCATTGAACTATATCGACGTCCCCCGGGAGGGCGCGGGATGTGAAAAGCGACTCGGGATGTCCTATATTTGGGCGTCAAAATCGTCACATGGAGGCGCGAATATTGTCCCCCTTAACTTAAGGATATAGGAAGGAAATACCAGAAATTAGCGGCCAAGCAAATCACAACGGCTCGACTACAGACACTCTATATCTCGCAGGTGATAAGTGTGAATGGGGAGGAAGAGCCCAAGTCACCGTGTGCGGAAATTGAGATCACAGGGTGCAAGGGATCAGTGGGGAAAAGGGTACGCAGAGTATGACAGTTGGTTCGTGACGCAATGCTCTTTTAGGACGACCGACGCCTGCCGACAAAATTCCTCCCTTCTCGGTCGTCGTCGAGGCGCTGACCTAATGGCCATTTTTTTATCACTTAGTATGAAGAAGACCAGAATGGACATGGTACGTTTCGCGCGACGGTGTTAAGGATAAACGGTGTCGGTGATCTAACGCTTTGCCCCTCCAAAAAAGGTAAGGGGTTATAAGCATGGATGTGTTGACTGTTAAACAAAGGACTGAACTGGCTTTGCATATGAACGCCCGCCTACACCCCGCCGCCCCTACCGGGCCCACCCGGTCTGCCGCCGCACCAAGCCACGACTACAACTCTGTGCTCGACGCCACTATCCAGTGATTATACATGTTAATATAGCGAAGTCGAATTAAAGTTACACAGCTGTATCTTTATTACTGAACTACCGGTATAGCAAAGCCTATCATAGATTTTAGATCTGTATTCTAGATATATGCTCTGAGCGCGAACGCGGTGGCGGGAGGGCGCACTTGACTCGGTTGCCAGTGAGTTTATCTGAAGAATACCCGGCTACAATACACGTCAGTTGAGCGCTGTTGCTCTGCGGTACTTTTTATTTAGATTTTTGTGTATAAACAGAAAAGCTTTGTAGTGATCGCCCTTCCCCCAGCACAAAACTAGAAACGAAAATTCTGTTATTACTGGCCTTGACATGATTTTTCGCATGCACATGCCTGCGCTCGCATGTGCGTGTGTGTATAAATGGGGGAAATAAAAATATTCGATTATTTGATGATCAAATTACCACTCAAATTACATTCAAAATCCAATTTAACCCAGGAACCTTTTTACGTCTAATTAAGACATGCGTGAAGAGCAAGAAAAACATTAGGTCTACCGTGCATAAAGTACAGAAAAACACAAGCCTGGCCCTACACAATAACGACTTGTAGCTATTTGTCTATCTGTCTCCCAGATAAATGTACCCTGGAGACAGGTAGATTGAATAGCAATTGAATTAGCACAAAGCGTGCATTTGAAGCTACCTTACGAGATTGTATGTATGTATGATTAAAAACGATCTGGCATAGAGCTGCTTTAATGTTCAAGCTAGGTTTCGAGTTTATGCAGACTTAGTTACATGTTTAATTAAAATGTAGGTAAGTAAATTAGGCTATCAAATGTTAAATGTTCTATGTATTTCTTCTAAAGTTGACCATTTGTTATTATCTTTCACATAGGCTGTAAAGGTGTACTTTAAGGGTGGTTACCAGATGACTGATGTTTACATGCTGGAACATCTTAAGGGAGGACATAAGCTACAGGGCCCTGCAGTCATCATTGACAAAAACAGGTGTGTTTTGAACCACAGCTTTTTAAGTCGTAAATATCCATATTATTATATTTTATTTAGAAACATTTAATCGTTCAGTGACCTCTCACTATTTTTGTATGATGTTGGAATATATGCCACCTGTTACTTACTTGGAGTGGGGCGATCCATATAACGTTGCACTTTTCTTGATATGATATGTATCGCGATACTTTCAAGGAAACTACCTTGCAAAACTATGCACTTAGCCAGTACTCTTCCAATCACGCGAATACTTAAAAATCAGTATCATGGAGTGCTTAGGAAACAACTGCTATTGAACGTACTGTGAATTGTATGATGCTTCTTTTGTTTTTTGATGAAGCTATATGCTCCCAAATTATATAGATTTTATTCAGTAGAGTATCAATACATGTATCCTGAATAGACAAGCATATCAATACGTGTCTCATCGAGGTTTGTACCGTGATACATTGATATATCGATGAATTGTCCTGCCCCTATTGGTTACCTGGGTTTTCACTGTTTACTACATTTAGCACAATTCTGTTGGAGCCTGACTGTGAGGCAGAGATCACAAGAAATGGCGATGTGCGCATTACTATTGGTACTGGTGCTCACAGCAAGATTGGCACTGAGCTTGACGACATACAGCTCTCCATCTTCTCGCACAGGTTCATGAGCACTGCAGAACAAATGGGCAGGTAAATGTTGCAGGATGACGTGTGCTGGTAAAAGTAGCTTGTGCTAGTAAAAGTGGTGCTGTAGCTTAAATGTTGTCGGCATGTATAAACCCCCTGTGGAACACAGAAATGCTGAAACACAGAATCCGAAATACTTGCAGTTCAGAAACCTGAATTCACACATTGCTGATTACACGTGAAAACATGGGAACATGGAAAAATAAACATGTTATAGAATTTTAATGAATAATATTGTTTTTTACATAATAAATGAAACGGACTACAATTAACGTATCCAAAGCTTTTCATAAGCTCAGTGAACATATTTTACATAATCTTGCTACAGAATGTACTTTTAATTTCTGATTATCCCTTTATTTTATTTGTCATGAACAGGATTCTCCAAAGGACAGCTATTTCAACGAATATAAAGGTACTTTTAGCAATGCAGAAAACAACTAGAATATATATATATATACATAGCTTCTCTGTACTTAGCTTGCACAACTACACACATTTTTGCTAAGACATTCGTTGATGAATGAATCCTTTCCACTTAACAAGATGATGTAATGGTTGCCGTATGTAGGAGCGACTGGACTTCTCGTGTGCAATGTTTGGTCCCGACGGGGGTCTGGTTGCCAATGCACCGCACATACCTGTGCATCTGGGAGCCATGCAGGAAACTGTCCAGTTTCAGGTAAACCAGAAGTCTAAACTAATAGGTTTACTCACTCATTAGTAAATACGTTTATTCTATAGAGTGACACATTGCTATGGTAAAAACGTTGGATGGTAACGTTTCTACAATCTTTCTAATGTTATATCTCATGACCATTTGATGAGATATATCATAAACATCATTAACATGGATTAACGTTTGTGTGAGTCATGGCACAACTCATATGTTTAGGGTTTGATTTTATTTGGTTATAATACAGAGAAGCCAAATTGTTATTAGATGTGTGTCTCTCTAATATAACAGGTCAAACTGATTATTGAGCGTACATGTACAGTCTAGCAAAGTGAATAGTGTTATTGCTCGTGTACTATAGTGCTTACATGTCTATGCTGCCAATGTGGTTCTGTTTGCATGTGTGCTTTATTTACCAGAGTCTGCATAGTGGTGCCAATTACGATTGAGAAATGTAAGGTATAAATGTAGGCATATTAATCAAAATGGTTCAAGTCTTATTTCCAAATACAATATCAGCTCAAAGTCAATATGCATTGTCAACTCGTTGTTTTGCGTTTGTTAAAAAAATTTACATCTGCGCAGCTGAGGCAACTGGGTGACAGTCTGAGGAAGGGTGATGTGATACTAAGCAACCATCCATGTGCAGGCGGAAGTCACCTGCCAGATCTTACCGTCATCACTCCTGTGAGTAGACATATAGGTTTCTGTGCACCTTATTGAGATGACGTGAAGAGAAAATAGTCATATATTTTAATCAGCCACTCAAGAGCATTTGCATTTGTATAGTGTGTATAACTAATATAATTAATATGCTAATAGCAGGCCAAATATATATCATATGTGACTAATCATTAGTTCAACCCACTGCTTTGCTTAGGTATTCTATAAAGATGTGGTGAGGCCTGTTTTCTTTGTGGCCAGCAGAGGGCATCATGCAGATATCGGTGGTATCACTCCAGGCTCTATGCCACCACATTCCAAGTCACTAGATGAGGAAGGAGCTGTCTTCCGCTCTTTTAAGCTTGTTGTAGACGGAGTGTTCCAAGAAAAAGGTATTATTTAGCGTAGTTATGTGTGAGCTGTATGGTTATTTAACCTATGGTGCGATTTGTAGTAATGTAGCTTAGAAATGTTTCCCATGCATGCATGGTAAATGCTATGAATAATATCAGGCTTTTTAATGTGAGGTAATATTGGTGTTGGTGAGGCATATATATAGGATCTGTCAATGATTGAACCTTGACAATAGTTGAAATAAGTGATAACTGAGTATGATTATATCTTGAGAAAATTTGGAAAAGTAACCCAAATTGTGGACAAGTGTAGTAAAAATTTTGCTTTACTGTGTGCACATGATGGCAGTCATATTACTCTAACAAACAGATCTCTGTGATTTGCTCAAGCACATTGTATGCATGCTTGTCCCCATCAGATATGAGAGCCCAAAATGCAAGTGTTGATGATGCACAAAATGTGACAGTGAGTATTTCCTCTAGCTGTAACTGATGCACTGATGGAGCCAGAAAAGTTCCCCGGGAGCAGTGGCACACGTAATCTGCAGGACAATCTGTCTGATCTGAGAGCTCAAGTAGCAGCTAACCAGAAGGCAAGCAATCACAGCTTATTGTGGAAATGTTGGCAGTCAATGTTAGAGTTTAAATTTCAAAATTTTCTTTTAAAAATTCTTGCGCTCACCCCCTGTTCGTCACTCACATCAATTGGTGGCCTCGGCCACTAACTAATAATTAATAATTGGTCACTAATTAATAATCGTTCCGAGCCTGATCTACGCTTCACGCTTCAGTTTTGCTTGGATACTGAAGAATTTGGAAAATTTCAGGTTTTTTATCCCAACACCATTCTCATGCCTGACTAATGTGTTACACTGTTTTCAGGGCATCAGATTGATAACAGAGTTGATAGATATATATGGACTCGACGTAGTGCAAGCATACATGGCTCACATTCAGGTATCTGCCCTCATACTATGCCTATGACATGCAGTATGACTGTGTCTAATACATTCGTATGAATCCCGATTGAAGTCTCGTGAAATACTTGGTAAAAACATCAGCAGTGTGTGATGGGTGTAATAAATTGTTATATCCATATATTGATGTTAATCAACTAAATACAGTGTGGCAGTTGTTATAATTTGTTACTTTCATGAAGTTAGATTAGTCTTATGAATGTAATGTAAACCATTATTTATGAACTAGCCCATATATATAATAGGCAAGTGAATGTCAGATAGGAACAGGCGGCGAGTTACCGTTTGCATTTCGATGAGTAAAAAGAAATGCCAGGCAACATTAGTCCCCCAGCAGAATTTAGCGGAATGTTATGTTGCCAATATTTTAAAATCTGTAACATATTGTAATGTTGGTACTTGATGATACACTCCTGATTATATTAGGGGTTAGTAATGACAAAATTTGACAAAATCTGTCATTATTAACCACTGATTATATGAACAGATATTATCCATGGTACATGTCAGCACTGTAAGTTTTCACTTTGCTGATTTTTAAGGAGTGCGTTTTGTTAACAATTGTCGCACAGGCAAATGCAGAGCTAGCTGTCCGAGAGATGCTGCGTGAGATCGCACATAAAACAAAAGAACGTACAGGAACAACGTCCTTATATGCAGAGGATTTCATGGACGATGGCACCAAGATTGCTATTAGTATCGACATTGATGAAGAGAAGGTAAGCAGTAGAAATTTAAATGCATTAAATTAAACCTTCATCGATATGTAATATAACAACATTGTCAAATAATTGACTAATAATTGGTCGAAAATAATGTATCAAACTGGTAATTATCAAAAATAATAAATGAAAACTTGAAGAGAAAGCTTGAATAAAGTTTGGATGACATGGTAAATAGTTTTTAAAATTGACAATTTAGAAGTGATACCAGTATACTGAGTGTTGATTCAACATATGCTATGCGTTCCCATATACAAAATTATTCACTGTGTTGTGCTAATTATAGCTTGCTTCTGGTTGCAGGGTTCAGCAATAATGGATTTTTCAGGAACAGGGTATGAGGTTTATGGAAACTGCAATGCTCCACGTGCTGTAACTCTCTCAGCCCTCATCTACTGCCTGCGGTGCATGGTTGGCCATGATGTGCCTCTGAACCAGGTGTGCATTCTCCAAGGATTGCCAGAGTACAGTGCCTGCTGTTGCAGTACACAGTTATAATAGCCATGAAGTAAAGTATATTCTGAGGTACATTGTGGATACAGAGTTAACACCTATTGGAGATGGGCCAACAAAACCTTGAAACCATTCACAGTCCAACCTCCCAACTCAATTCCTATTAATTCAATTTTCCCTGAAGCACATAGCTTTTATTATTGTTCCGTAAACAAAGTTGCCATTGCTTGCATTCAGGGTTGCCTAGCTCCGATAAAGACTGTGATTCCTGCTGGCACTATACTGACGCCCTCGGACACGGCAGCGGTCGTCGGCGGCAACGTGTTGACGTCACAACGCATTGTCGACGTCATCCTTAAAGCGTTTGGTGTCTGTGCTGCTTCTCAGGTGTGGCATACATACAATTCAGTGATTGAAACGTATGATTCCTTCCTTGCAACAACGCTGTTCTATGGAAACGCTATAGCCAATCAGTATACAAGTACTTTGTTCATTAAAATTGATTTCATATCACACATCGACTCACATTCATTGGCATACAGCGAGCAGATGCTCTCATTTGTGTAATTATTCCTTATTCTCAGCCCAAGTGGTTAAAAGTATTCGTGATGTTACAGGGCTGCATGAATAACATCACATTCGGCGATAAGGACGTGGGATACTATGAGACCGTGGCAGGTGGAGCGGGTGCCGTAAGTTACTCACAATATGTGATCACAATTAACATTTGTCAGTTATCAAGTAAATCTGCCTGTGAGGAATCGTCTTTAGTTATGCAATCAGTGATGTAGGGCTTCAGATTTACTAGAGCTGGCATGCTAAAATGTCTGAGTTGACGTGTGCAGACATCAATCTTATAATATGTACAGTGCAAGAAAAATTACTAATGCATGCACTTGTTATTGTCACCCATTTGTCACAGCTAGGAATTAAATATTTTCATGTGCACCTAGATAAACGTTTAGAAATTAGATTTAATGTAGAGTTAAAAATCTATGATTTTTTCAACTTAAAAAAACTAATAAATGTGAATTTAAATAAGCCTATCGTGACTGAATTATTGAGATGAGAACAGCTGTGCTTAGTCAATGTATAATTATAGTTCATATTTCCAACTGGTTGTAGGTCAGCATAAGCATATTCCTATATGGTTGCCACATTTGCAGGGTCCTGGCTGGCATGGTAGAAGTGGAGTACACACGCATTGCACCAATACGAGAATAACCGATCCAGAAATCGTTGAACGAAGGTGCGCGTATTACTGCCTGATACTAACGCTGTCTAGGAAGCGCCATACCATCAGTAAAATTATTTAAACTGAAATGATCAAAAACATCGAAATCTGTTGGATAGAGTATTTTTGCACGTGAAAGTTGCGATATCTGCACTTTGTTCATTATTATCATTATCAGTCTCCTAATAAATTCATGCACTTGTTTACAGGATCAGATCTTCAATGTGATTTAATGCAATCCCAGGTTATTGTCCACACCCATAAATATAGCAATACATTATGATTGAACTAATGTGCTTTCTACCAATGACAATATGTCTCCTATGAAGCTAGTGCGTGAACCATTAGTTGTATACAGCACACGAAGCTAGTCATGTGAAAGTCATCTAGACTTTTCCTACCTCGACTGTATCTCTGCACAAAGCTAGTGTTTCTACCTGTGCTAATGTATCCTGCGTAAAACTAGTCTTTTCACCTGTGCATATTCCTTATGAAGCCAGTGTGGCCACACATAATATGACAGATCTATTTATCTATACCTGTATGGTAGTGATGTACACCATGTTGTTGCAGGTACCCTGTGATTGTTCAGCGCTTTGAGCTCAACCCACACTCGGGAGGCGTCGGAAGGTGGCATGGAGGAGATGGTGTGATACGCGAGCTTCTCTTCAGGAAAGACCTCATGCTGTCTGTACTCACGGAGCGACGAGTGTTTAGTCCTTATGGGCTCAATGGCAAGTAGTGCACGTTATAATAAATGTTGTTGCGCAATATAGTAAGTGGGAGCTTGATACCGGGTCTGTAGAGAACAAGGGTGCTCCCCTAAAGCCAACGTGGTTAATGCGTATTCCGTACTCTAGACAAGATGATTGAAGCATGCCATATATCACTGGACAACATGTAAGATTCCGAGCTTTGAATTGATTTGTAGTAGTGATGTGATTCATGGTGAATGTCAGTGAAGTAACCTCTACATTACCACAAGCGTTTATTTTGAATTTGATGGTATGACCAATCTGATTGTCCCTTACAGAAATGATATTGCATACATATAGAGTTTAATTCTATCGCTAATTGTAATTACCTGTTGCTGAGGCAGGTGGTAGAAATGGCCAGCGGGGTCTGAATCTACTCCTGCGTGAAGATGGCAGGATCATTAACCTTGGAGGCAAGACTGCTGTCAATGTGTTACCAGGGGTATGTATATAGGTACATCATTAGAGATACATAAAAAATCATGTCACAATGTCTAGTTTATGTATTACCATTACATCATGGCAACCTCAAAATCTTGTCTTTATTTGATGGTGTTAGGACATGCTGTAGTGTTGTCAGAATCTGCCATTTATAGTTGGGTATAAGAATAAAAGGATTGAGTGTCAAAATCCTGACTTGCCGTCAACGTTGTGATGGTAAAAAACTCTAATATGAATGTCAAGAAATAAACATGAAGTCTAGATTCCAGTTTTATTCTAGGGCATGGTCAGTTAATACGAATGATTATTTTCGACAGTTTGGTGCATTATTTTCAATACTTTATTTGAAGGAGGATGAAACAATTTATCTAGTGACGTGTGTATAATAATGAACCTTTCCTGATCAGCCTGTGTTCACCTTCAACAGCAGTTCTAATTTTCATGCTATTTTTGAATGTGAAAATTTGCAGTAATTTAAAAAAAAAGAATACAAGGCAAAAAAAATCGTGTTAATTTGATTGATATCTGTCAATGAATCAGATGGCCGTTTGTTGTAAATGGGGGTAGTGCTTAAAATAATGTTTTTATATAGCTTGCTGATATAGTCAAGACGAGCAATTGTCTGCGTTTTCAGGATGTGTTTCGGCTAAGAACTCCAGCAGGTGGTGGCTATGGAGCAGCAGACGATGAAGGGGAGAGTCGGTTATATCAGCAGGGAAAAGATGTAGCTGCGTTTGCACTAAAAGGAAGTGTCCATGAATACACACGAAGACAAGAATCAGCATGAAATAATTCTGCATGTTGCTGCAGACACATATATTAAAGCACATGGAATAATCACAAGACAATGCATAAATATAAACTAAAACACAAAATTAAATCTTTAAATGTGATTTCGTGTTCTATTGCCCATAGTGTCATATACGTTTTCCTTTGGAGGAAAATGTCAACATGAAGGAAGAGTAGATAGGCTGTATTTTAAGATAAGGGGCATTTTATTTGACATTTTGTGCCTCTATAAGAACAGAAGTTGTCAGTGCAGAGATATATAGACTGTTTGATATTGTCACAAAGCAGCTTAAATGTTGCATATAAATAATTTAATACACAAATGTCACTATATTATAATGTATAATATAATTAAGCATAGGGTGGAATTCGGGTATGTTGAAGGGTAGTAGATTACATATTATAACATTTTCTTAAATTTATTTTGATTAAAATGTGTATGCAATCGTTCAAATTATATGCCAATTTGTTATCACTGTTCATGTGGACCCAGTCGGCGCACAGCTTACTTCCTGTAAGGAATTGACATACATTTTATTTGTGCCAAATTGGGTTAAGGTGTATGTGCTGTCAGGTTGTTAATCAAAGTGCTGTAATTATGCCATGGGCCAACACTGATTATTACTCTAGTTTGTTTGATACCTCACAAAACTAGGTCTCTTATATAATTAGTTTATTATATAAAAAATTTCTGATAAAAAATCATGAATATGCATATATCGCTACCTCTATTGGACCTCAACATTGACAGCTTGAAAGACCTCTTGAATGCTGTTTCTTCTATATATGCCTTAACAATCGACTTGCTCAGTAATGTTGAAGTCTTCCATGTTTTTATCGTGTCACAACGAAGACATTTGTAAACTGGGTTGGGAGATTTAGGTCTTTCTTTGTGTAAGGTCCGGAAAAAGACTCCAACAATCAAGTGCGGGGTAGACGATTTATTTGTGAACAAACAAAAAAACCCTGGAACATACAAATACACATGCATGAGTGCATGGACAGCCTAACGCTTAAAACCACGCAACATGTACATACAATCGATTAACTGTTCCAATAGCTTAATGCTGATGGGGTACCGACCCCATTTAAACGTTGAGAATAATTAGAATTATAGACTAGTTACAGAAATAACACTATATAGTTTATACACTGTACAATATACAAAATACAAAACATTATAACCAATAGCTACAATTACTTACAGGCGGCATAATGCCTCTTACCTCGTAGATGTTGACCGATAGAAATTACTAATCAGCAGAATGCTTTCTTCTGCTTTCTATCGGATACAGCATGGTGGCCTAGGGCTGCCATCTGTTCTCTGTAGTGCTGCCGTCTAGCTTTTCTCTCCTTTCGCCACTCGAGGGCAGCACCAAACAATCACAACAACCCTGTGACAATTCGGCATGTCACATTTGTATTGTTAGCTCAGCTGACGAAGTCAGATGCAGCTTGTAGAATCGCATGAATGTTCGTGCGTTCGTGTGTCCGTCAACAGTTATTGCACAAATCTTTACCGCTCGACGTACGGTCTTGATATTCGGGACGTCGGGGGGGATCACGAAAAGGACTCCGGATGTCGAATTTGGGGGGTCAAGGGTCAAAGGTCAAGATGTGTCAATGGAGGGGAATATTTTCCCTTTAACTTATAGTATAGAAGGAAATACGGAATTGCGGCACAAATCTCAACCGCTCGACCTACGCTCTTAATATTTGATGTATAGTGTGATGGGGAGGAAACCCATCACCAGCGCCAAATTGGAGGTCACTGGTCAGTGGGCAGTGGGGGAAAGGTCAGATATCAGACATTTTCTGAGGACATGAGTGCAAAACTTTTTTGTTTCAGCACTGACCTACCATTTTTATCACTTTATTGAAAGGACCATGAAATCAGGAGTAGATAATAGGATAATAATTCCCTATTATCTACTTCTGATGAAATGTACTTTCCGCTGACATGCGAAGAGCAAGTGTCTGATAACCTTTTGACCCTCAAGAGGAGGGTTAAACATGGATTTGTTATTGTTGACCTGTTAACATAATGGAAGGGGAACGAAGGGGACTGAACTGCTTTGCTAATTAGAGGCACGCCTCCACCCGTCCCCATGCGCCCCTCCACCCTCCATCCACCGACACCACTACGCTCGGCGCTCGACGCATATCATAGATACATGTTAATATAGCGGAGTCATTAAAGTTACATAACTGTATCTTTATTACTGTCAAACGGTATAGCGCAAAGCCATAGCGCTATCATAGATTTTAGATCTGTATTAGTAGTGATCCAGATATATGCTCTGAGGCGCGAACGCGGTGGCGGGAGGGCGCACTTGGATTCGGTTGCCAGTGAGTTTATCAAAGAATACGCGGGCTACAGGCTACACGTCAGAGTTTGAGCGCTTGTCCGGCTTGCGCGAGAACACTTGTTTTTGATAGAGTTTAAGGCGAGTTTTGGAAAAGATAATCAAATGTGTGGCGCTCCTACAGTGGTATATTGGTTATAACGCATATCACATTGTGTAACCCTACGACGACTCTAAATCATTACCATGAACTGCAAGAAAGGGCGCGGCCAGGTGCCTTATACAAAATAACAGTAAAAGGTGTAATTCCCTGTCGGAATAATCATGAGAAGTTCTTCTAATAAGGCGGCATCGATGATGACGCTTTGTTTGTTGATATTTATCCGCTAAGGGCGCCTCGTGGCCACAAGGAACGGGATACACATCAACCGTGATTGAGGGAGTAATCGGTTTACCTAACTGTTAGGATGTAATATATCAGAACAGAATACTTCTCATTTACGAATACGTGACTGCTTCATCATATTTGTCCGGGAAAAATGAATAGCCAACTGACTATCTGACCATTTCTCATATCGAGTATGACACATACGGTCCGCGCGCACACACAGTGCCAGCCGCGCTCGCACCCGCCGCCGCGCATGCAGTCATTAACACAAATTCAAGTATTATATTTAAACATGACTTTAGATTCCTCGTGCATTGTTCCAATAGGTAAAGCAAGTCAAGGGTTTCTCAGGACGCTGGTACTTGTTAAAAGAGAGGACCTGTAAAAAAGAATGACTAACAGAATGAACAGAGCCTCCGATTGACACTGCACTCCACTACATTAAGCGGATATACCTCAAACTGCTTCGCAATCCACAATGACCAGCTAACATCGACAAAAGCGCTTCTCCGCTAACAGTCATGAGTACTGCTCTTAGCGAGCTGTTGAAGCCTCCAGTATGATCAAACCCTCTATATAACAGGCCATGACCCTGCTACATGTAAGCAGCTTATCGTCTAAGCAGATCAAGGCACAACGGACAAGAGACACGTGACGCTGACCAACCTAAGAACGTCCTCTGATAACCTTTCTAATAGCTGCGATACTCACATCCAATTTCCTCCGCGCTAACGTCATATAATGACAGCTAACAGCTTTAATTTGGCTCGCCATGTAGCTGTAACGTATTGCGCTGCATACCCAAACGCTAATTAGCTTATTAAATTCAGCCTCATACAACCGATCCACAATAACACACGTACGCGCGCGTGCGCAACGCAACACAGTCATACACACACACGAGCCGCGACACAGCACGACGCGCATACACACACCCACTCTCTCTCTCTGCTCTCACAACACAAAAGTATATATATATATATATTATTAAATATAGTATTGGGGGTGCGTGCACGCGCGCGTGCGCGTATTTATGTATTGTAGTTCTAGCCAGTCATATAATTACATAGCAATGGTCGTAAGAAAGTGTCAACAGAAAACAGCGTAGTTTCCACACTGAATGGTTACTAATAACGTTGATTGTACGTTTCGTAGTTGAAATGATGAAAGTAAGCGCGCAACACTTGCGTGTAAAGAACTGAATAAGATGTTAATAATCTTGGCACATCAGTGTAGTGAGTAACATCTTGCACCATAGAAGATAAAGAAACGCGCACAGCCCTCCCCCCACACACACGACACACACGCTCTGGGACCACAACCAGACTCCTCGACCTCCTTACATCTCTGTCCTCCCAGCCTACCACACACGTCATCTCACCCACGTATTGTCCTAACGCCACAGCCGCTATGTGCCCACCCTCATTTCACAAATGACGCGCTAGAAACGCAGCGACCTAAAACACGTTTAGAATTCTCCCTATAACATCAATGTAGCGCCGCAACAAGACGCGCGATCTGCTCGCGTCTACATAGATCTTATCCCACTAAAACAACGCGCCGAGTCCCTAGCCGCACTCCGCGTCTGCTAACTAATTATGTAAGCCTCTGTAAAAATCATATGTTTACAGTTACAAATACACGCTGTATATAGGAGTTTTCCTAAAGCCGTGATGAGCATAGGCGCGTATGCCGTACGACTATGATACTCTCTTGTATATCGATCATGCACAATCAGAGGCTTCCCCCAGAGGGCGTAGTTTCCGTGTTGTACACATGAAGGCCTTCATCAGATCTGATTATCTATGGTGGAGTAAAGCTGGCTCAAGTAATACCATTCCACCCTACGATCGTACGTTTGTCAGTATTTAGGTAGCACCTCTGTGGTTGCGTAGATTATAATGATTATGTGTTCACTACTAATCTAATTCATTGTCGCATTGTAAAAGTCCGCGATAGTATTTCTTTGGCTGATTCTTTGATCCGTTGCTTCGATTTTTTCGACTTTTGATACGAAAGCTGTTTTCGAACTCGCAGACCGTATTTTAGTTCGCAGCGACGCAATTATTTCACTCACGTGCTTGTCTTGTTCCTACCCAAGCGCTTGTGCCATGCATACTCCGACGTCGCCTGAGAAAGCACAATTCGTGAGGAGCTCTACGTGCCATGGTGCAGTCCTTGGTTAAATACATTATCGTAGAATACTCTTAGATCTAGATCCTGGAGCGTGGATGATTAGTGCTAAAATCTATAACAGCAAGAATATGTGGTTCCAGCAATTAATGTAGTACAGCCATGGCACCAAGCCAAACGCAACCAAAATGAAGAACCACGACGCGCAGATATGGCCGAAAAGTATATTTGGGCTGAAACGCGAACGCCCAGCGGGGGACGCCGAAGCGCCATTATTATGTAAATTACATATCGAGCTCGCTGATATGAGAAGGATTGTGGCGGATGCTGGCGGCTAAAAGGCAAATGTCTAGAGCAATATTTAGCATGGCACATCCCCATTACACTCCTGGCATAATCCCTGTCGCAGTTTGAAATGCGCTAGTTAGAGCAGCGCAAAAGTATTATCTTGGCTGCGCGAACGCGACGCAGCAACGGCGAGGGCGTCCATTCGCTATGTACGTTAGCAAGGAGAAGGAGGTTTAGTGCCATGTCTTACATCTTTTCCGTCAGAACAATGTTTTAATTTTCATGCACCAAGATTGTACCGGCTGCCGCTTTATATTTTCCTTACAAGTAACGCTACGTCCAAACATAAATATACTCATGCAAGTCTTAAGTCCTGATCATGAAATATTGTCTCTTATATAAACAGAATTATAGAAGAACAATTTTAATCCCACAGAGCAAAAATCAAACAACATTATCAAGAACCATCATCGTATAATTACATCAGAGAATCGAACCGTGCAACATCGTCTCCCAGTCCAAGCTGGCAGGCAACCAATTGGCATGTACAAACACGGCATGCCAATTCTAATTTGTTCAGATCTAATAACATATATAATCCGCCTTAACGTCGACTGTGAGGAAAACATTTGAGTAGAAATGACTGGAAACCTGGATCGTGCAACTCCCGACCAAATACGCTATACACTCCAACAAACT